TAAAAAAAAAAAAAAAAAAAAAAAAAAAAAAAAAAAAAAGAAAAAAAAAAATGGCAATAACTGTGTGCAGCAGCAAATGCAGCAGCTGCTGCTGTGCTGCTGCATGCAAGCCACAATAATAATAGCAGTATAGCGAGAACAGCAACCGCAACAGCAACAACAGCAGCAGCACCAGCAGCAGCAACCATAACAGGAACATCTGCAGCAGGCAGCAATAGCAACAGGAGCAACAATAGCAGCAGCAAGCAGCAGCAACAACAACAACAACAACAACAACAACAACAACAACAACAGCAACAGCAACAGCAGCAGCAGCAGCAGCAAGTATATATTATTTACTGGAAAGGTGCAGTTCCTTTCGTGAGTAATTTAGGCTTGAATACACAAACAAGAGCATTAAGAGGTTCTTCTTGTCCTGCACCATCAGCCAATCGACGAATTGTTACTCCTCCCCTTATTCCTCCCTCTCCTGCTGCTCCTGATTCTGCTGCAGCTGCTGCTGCTGGTGCTGCTGGTGGTTTTTCTGTTGTTGTTGCTGCTTGTACTCCTCCTACTCCTGCTGTTTCTGCTGCTGATGCTGGTACTCCGCCTGCCCTACTGGGCACTTGGGGCTCTGCGGGGACTTCGGGCTCCAATGAGGGTGAGTCCTCCACTCTGTCGTTGTCGTCAGCCTCAGCACCACTGCTGCCGCCACCGGTGCCGCCACCGGTGCCTTGGTCGGTGCCGCTAGAGCCAGTTCCTGTTGACGAGTTCTTGTATGGGCATTGTATAACAGTGCATGTAACTGCTACTCCGTCCTTAGGTGTATACATATTCATTAAGGATACAACATCAAGACTTTTGTATATATCCTCTCCGGGTGTATAGGCAGGTGGTAAAGAATCCCCTATTGTCTTTAGTGCTCCCTTCCATTGCTTTGTTGCTGCTGCACAATCCCCATCGGCTGACTCCTGAATTGCTGCTGCTATAGACAAATTAACTGTAGTGTCTGCTAGCCATACACCAGGATCTGTACCCTGCAACAATCCAAACAAATAGAAAAAAAGATAACAATTCAAAATGATAAAGAATAGCAGGAGCAGCTGCTGCTGCTACTGTCTGCCTATAGCTGGAGCGAAGGAGCAGCAGGAGGAAACAACAAAGAAGCTTAAGAACAAGCCATTAAAAGCACGGCAAACAAAGAAAAAGTAAGAGCCCTCAGAAAAGGGCATATTAGAGCACATTGGAGAAGGATAGAGGAAGAAAATACATATGCTGCTCTGTGTGTATGGCTGTGCTGTGGTGGGGGTTGTTACAAAGCGAACCTTACCGCTCTTATACTCGCACAAAGCTTAGTAGTATTGGATTCAGTATTAAGAGAAGAAGATTCCGATGAACTGAGTGTAGTGAACTTAGGAAATCCCATAGGTTCTCTTGCCTTGTTCATCTGCTCCGAGCAGTCGACAGCCGCTGCGGACAAGCGGGAAGAAACACAAAGAATGTATACTTGTCCCCATCTTCTCCCAGCCTTAGAATATCTTATAAAGAAGAATATAAGTCAACAATACTCACAAAATGGCGTCTGGCCGCCGGCTTGTGCCTCCGTGAAGAGTGCAGGCACGGCGGCAGCCGTGCCTGCAAGTACGGCGAAACAGAAACGACGCATGATGATGGTTCGGAAAAAAAGCCCAGAGGAAATGAAGGAAATTTCCCTCTAATAATAATAATATAAGAAAAAAACTTAAGAAGAAATAGTTCATTAAGTGCCACGGGTAAAATAAAGAAGAAACAAGATAAACAGTAACGGCTGAAGAAACCTAGATGAAAGTTTTAGCGTACCGGCAGATCAAGAGGATCTTTCTGGCGGTTGTTTGGCGGTTTCTGCTTGTAGACGGCTTCTCATTGTTCTTTTTTTGTCGATTTTTAATGAAAAGTGTTTTGTTAAAAATGAATCCTTTAATGAACTCTTTTTCCCGCCACATTTCTTAATAAAGTTGCATCAACAACACCGTTTCTTCGATGGTCTAATTGTACACACAAACCGACAGAACAACAACCGGCCTCCTGGCCTCTCTTGAGCTTGCTGTTTTCTTGGAGTTTCACGAATTCAAATAATTGCAATTAATTCTTTAATTCAATTAGCCAATAATTAAATTAGGCAAAATTAAAAAATAGCAATTTCTCGTGACTTTTGGCCCCCATGGCAACGCCGGTCTCGTTGCCCGCTATCGCCTCGCATTATCCTCTGTACTGCTTGATCCTTTCCGTCTTCTCTCATGCATTCTTACCTTCAGATCAATAAAAGTTCTTTCACAGATCAATAAAAGTTCATTCTCTCCTTAACTTTAAATAATATAAATACTAGAATAATCAAGTTTTCCCTAAGATCTGTGATCTGCTCCTGCTGTAGTAGGACGCCGTACAAACCACTTTCCCCGCTGTGTCCCGTCTACTTAGGAGTCGTAAAAAGTTGGTATTTTTTATGTCTCCCCCTATTTTTTAAATTAATAATTCAAAAAAAAGTAATTAAGGAAAAGCTTAATAAGACGTTTTAGAGGCAACGTATACTTGCTTGTGCCAGTATACTCAGAACCTGCACGCTAAAGGCTGCACGCTGTACCAGCGTCGGTGCACAAGCATGCACGCTCTTGGGAGCCTACCCAGCAAGCACACTGTACGGGACATGCAGTTAAGTGGTTAATTAAGTGTACGGGAATGCTTACTCGTACGGATGACGTTTGAATGCCTGAGATTGACAGGACTATAGGTGACCTTTAGAGTGCAACGCCTATCTCGTAGAATTGACGAGGGATTTGTTGACCTTGAGAATGCAAGGCAAATCCCACGGCATTCGAATATAAGCATTCCGTCAGAACAGTTCATCGTAGGAGTGACGAGGGCTTTGGATACCTTAAGAATGCAAGGCCGATTCCATGGCACCCATACATGTTTTGCCTCGTCCAGCTACAGTATCCATCTTCACACCTCGTGACTCCATGAGTTGAACGGAAGTGATTACGAGGGATTTGAATGACACTAAACACTGTAGTAATACGCGAAGAGCAGCTCTCCCCATATGATGGGTCTGCAGTTTCGCAGTGGTCGGAACGCTTAACTCCCCAGCAAGAGTTGAGTCTGTTTCTTTGTCAATTAGGCCTTAGGGTTGGC